GTCTGTGCATCTTTCAGAGAAGGGCATGCACTAGGTTTCATCTGGGAATATATTGTCAAAGAATGTCATTTGGTAATGTATAGCTGAACAGAGTCAGTGTACCAGTGCAAGTACAATTTTTTTTTTTATTTCAATTGAGTAAAGAGAAACCCAGGTCTCCTAAAGCACAAGAAGTAAAATTTAAAAATCAATAATGGGATTGTATCAAACAAAAAGCTTCTTCACAACAAAGGAATAATCAAAAGCAAGAAGAGAGGGCCTACTGAATGGGAGAAAATCTTTGCCATCAATACCTCAAATAAGGTCTTAATTTCCAGGAACATACAAAGAACTAAAAAAACTTAACCAAAACAAATAACCCATTCTACAAATGGGCAAAAGAACTAAACAGACACTTCTCAAAAGAAGAAAATATGAACAGTCAACAAATATTTGAAAAAATATTCAAAATCTCTAGTAGTTAGAGAAATGCAGATTAAAACTACACTGAGATTTCCCCTATCCTCCAACCAGAATTGCAGTTATCAAGAATACARGTAACTGTAAATGTTGACATTTTTTCACCCACCTTGCACTTAAAGCTAAGAATGAATCTCCTGCCCCTCCCAAAGAAGGGAGTGTTGAAGGGAGTCCACAGCCATAAACAGAAGAAGATCTGCATGTCACCTACCTTTTGGTAGGCCCAAGACATTGCAGCTCTAGAGGCACCCCAAATTTCTTGGAAGAGCACCCTCAGGAGGAACTTGAGCACTATGCCATCATCAAGTTCCCCCAACCACTGAGTCAGCCATGGGGAAGATTGAAGACAACAACATACTTCTGTTCATTGTGAATGTCAAGGGCAACAAACACCRGATCAAAGAAGCTGTAATGTAGTTCTATGACATTCATATGAGAAAGGTTAACACCCTAATCAGGCSTGATTGAGAGAAGGCTCTCAATTATGATGCTTTGGACTTTGCCAACAAAATTGAAATCATCTACAGAGTCCAGATGWCTAATTTTAAACATATGCTTTTTTTTTTCAACATTTAAAACAAAATAACAAATTTGACAAGGATATGGGGACGGGTACACTCATACCTTATTGGTGGGAATGTAAATTGGTGCAACCACTCTTGAAACAGTATGGAGATTCCACAAAAAAACTAGGARTGGAACCACCTTTTGACCCAGTTATCCCACTCCTTGGTAAATACCCAATGGAGTTAAAATGAGATAGCAGCACAATTCACAGAAGCTAAGCTATGGAACCAGTCTAGATGAATGGATAAAGAAATGTGATATGTGTGGAATATTACTCAGCCATGAACAAAATGACTTTATGACATTCGCTGGTAAATGAATGGATCTGGAGACTATCAGGCTAAGTGAAATAAGCCAGTCACTAAAAAACAAAGGTGCAATGTTCTCTCTGAGGTATGGATTCACCCACATCAAGGAGGAGGATGATGAAGAATAGAATTTCAGTGAATTAGACAAACAGGAATGGAGGGATGATAGAAAAAGGAAAGACAGCCACGCGCGGTGGCGCATACATATAATCCCAGGGTTTTGGGAGGCTGAGACAGGAGAATCGCAAATTCAAAGCCAGCCTCAGGAACTTCAAGGCGCTAAGCAACTTATTGAGACCCTGCTCTAAATAAAATACAAAATAGGGTTGGGGATGTGGCTCAGTGGTTGAGTACCCCTGAATTCAATCCCCAGTACCAAAAAGCAAAATGAAAGACAGTGGAATGAATCTGACTTGACTTTCYTATGTACATATATGAATGCACCACAGTGAATCTTCCCATCATGTACATCCAGAAGACTGGGATCCTAATTAGATTAAGATATATTCCAAGCCTATATAAATATATCAAAATAGATCCTACTGTCATATATAACCAAAAGAATAAATAAAAATTAAAAGTGAGCAGTAGGTTCAGTGTGAGTATATATTTTTCAATTGATTTGTTGTGGGGTGGAGGGACAGTGTCTTATAGCCAGTTATCATTCATTATGTCTGGCTCACCTTTATTTTCCTTCCTGGTTTTGAATTTGTGAGTGAAATAACTAAGAAGCAGTTGTAATGTTATAAATATTTACTTTTTCTGTTTTAGATTATTTTTGTTAAATGTTTGGCTTAGTTTTGCTTAATATTTGGCTTAAAGGAAAATTTCAAATTACTGGTTTAGCCATTGTACCTAAAATAGTGTCATTTGTTTTTTTTTTTTTTTATTTTGGACTATTTTAATTCTTTATGTTTATGTTTGGCATAAAAGAAAATTCCAAATTACTGTTTCAACTGGATATTAGTTGCAGACTAAATACCTTTTTCTATGCTGTTGGCATTTTCCACCTAAAAATTCTTTTCCTAATATAGTGTCAGAATAAGATAAGTTTTAAATGAGGCAGAATTTTATGTGAAAATCAATAGTGCATTTTCCCTAAAAGAAAATAGCTTTAGGAACTTCCTCAGACCTTACTTCTAAATGTAAACATTGTTTTTATAGATCTTGCAAAGTAATTTTGACTTKTTATAACCCAGTAGAATTCTAAAAGGGTGTGGCAATTATTTCTGATAATAGATGTTATATTAAATATTCACTTTGAAATATATTCATCTATTAAAGTAGAAAATTTACATCAGCAAATTTTATACCATAATAAGCTTCATAAATAAGCTGTGTGATATATTACTTAACTTTTGATGGTTGTTTTTATTCATTTTCTTTAGGCAAAAAATAGTTTTGATTACTGAATATTTGTTTACCTGTTTCTTCATCACAATACATTCTTCCTAGCCATTATACATACCCACATGGAAAACAGAAGAGCTTTTTTTTTATTAACATACACACACTCATTTTTGAACCCATGTTTATTTTCTTTCATGATGCCTTCCCCTACCTTCATAGAATATATTGACTTTCTAACTGACATTGTCATAGCTATTAACATATGTGACTGTAAAATAAGGCAACATGGTAGAAAACATAGACTGTAGCAAGTTTTCAAATCTTTCTTCCTTTTATTACTTTCATTGCAGTGAGCAAGTACTTAGCATTCTGTGCCAGAATGAATGATATGGAGTCAAATTTGAGCTTTGTAGGGATTGTATATGAAAACATCTAGTACTACAACTGGTATTTTATAGCTTAACAATAATAGTAATATATGTCAAGAACTGTAAAGAGTTTACCTACTGGCAAGCTAACAAGTTAAGCTGCCACATTTTCATGGATGTTGTCCAAAAAATGCAACAATGTAGTCAGAGTTGAAGAATAGATTATTCTACTTGCAGCAATAGCAGTAGCCAGAGAAAACAATTTTGTAGGTTCTTGAGCCCATATTACAACAGGACAATGTAAAGAGGGCCAGGTAACTTTTGAAAAGGTGGTTTGGAATGAAGGTGCTTGATTAGTGTTTTTATCTTTGAGTACTATTCTTACATTTTCCTGCTTAAAAATCTCCAATTGTTCTCTGGTACCCTGGAAAAAAAATCCATCTCCCCTTTTGTCCTAGAAGATCTTAAGTCATCAGGTCTCGGCTTACCTCCATGAACTCATTACCAATATAYTTTCCTTCTTTTTCTCTCTTCAACCTCCAAACAACCTTGACATTAACACTTCCTTCTACCTGATTGATTCTTACCCCAGATCATCACATAATTAGCTCCATGACATTTCAAACAACAGAGAAAGTGAGGCCTTATCTGACCACCTAATGTAAATCTCCAGGCATTTCATCACATTACTTTTTTTAAAATATACATCAAATTTTTGCTGTTTATTGTCTGTTTTCTGATCTGTCACACCAAATAYAAACCAACTCTCCTGCTCCCACTCCCCGCCTTGGAAGAACAGTATAATTTGGTCTCAGTGCCTATGTACTGAATGAATGAGTGGGTATGTTGTTCTTTCCCTTTCATTGTTTTGATCAATAATATCTGTCTTCATTTTATGATTTCTATGAAGAACTTACACTATCTCGGTTAAAAAAGAATGCACAATAGGAGCTGGGATTGTGGTTCAATGGCAAAGCACTTGCCTAGCATGTGAGAGATACTGGGTTTGATCCTCAGCACCACATAAAAATAAATAAATAAATAAAATAAAGGTATGGGTCTATCTGCAACTATAAAATGAAGAAAGAATGCACAATAAAAATAAAGTATCTCCAAATATAATATAAGCCATCAACTTAGAGTATAATTAGCACTTTTTAATACCACTGGTAGTAAACTAATGTGATAGCCTGTTTTGTTTCATTGGCACTTAAATAAATGGCATCTCTATACGATGTGTAATAAGATGCCATGCTGTTTATTAGCACTTAAAAATCCATCTTTACCTGCTGATTCCTGCTGATGCCACATGAAATGAATTTCTTGTTTAAAATTTATAAATAAGTTCAGTAACTAATCACATATTGATTGAGAACTTATTTTAATTATCATGTTGTTATTGGCTTTCATCAAGAGTACCTCTTTCTAAAATACCAAATATTTATTTAGTTATCTTTTTAATACTTCTCCCCTTATGAGAAAATTGAAAAATTATTGATCATAATATAAAGTAGCCATAGATTTCAGATCTTTCCTATCATTTCCTTAACCATTTTCYTTATATTAATAACTTACTTAAAGCAGCGAAGGTATGGAAGACACAAATACAGTTGCAAGACACTTTTTAAAATATGTTAGAAAGCTCATTTGATTTGTGAATTAAATGTTCTTATTTTTAGTTTCTGTCTCTCTTCTCCCTTTTAGTTAGTTAATTCCACTTAGATGCAGGTGTTTTAAACATTATGGTGTATTTATAGGCATAAAATATATTTAACACAGGTATATGTGCATACCTTTTAAAAGACTGTTACTAATATAAGAACTAACCATTATTTAAATGATATTCAGTCATGGTTCTAACTTGCATATAATTTCAGATTGATAATTTTTCATTTTCTTTAGAATCACTGGTTAAAATTGATCATTTTTTGAAATTTATTTGTAATAGCAAGCAATAAAGGAGAACATCAGAAAAAGAGAAGCAGAGGAAAAAGAAAAACGTGCCAGAATAGCTAAAGAATTAGCAGAGAAAGAAAGACTTGAACGCCAGCAAAAGAAAAAGCGCTTACTAGAAATGAAGACTGGTGAGTACTATCAAATTTGCTATTCAAGTTATGTACCCTTAAGATGTATATAGTTTGGACTGGGGATGTAAGTCAGAGGAAGAATAATTGCTAGAATGCAAAGGCCCTAGGTTTGATTCTCAGTACCCTCCCCAACACACACACACACACACACACACACACACACACACACACACACACACACACATTTAAATGGGTTACTTTATTAGCATTTTAATGTGTTTGGTGAAAAACTAAAATTTGACTACCTGTTTCTGTAGTTAAACGTTAGAGCAATTGTTTTCTTATTGGTTTTTCTACCTTGACTTTGCTAATAAGTGCTGTCTTAATGTTGCACATTTGTGATTTAGTCTTCTAGCCTATTCTCATTTTTTTTCACTATTACTCCAGAAACCAATCTGTAATAAGTAGCTTTATAATCTTGGAAACTGGCTCTGAAATCCTACAGGACATGTTACCTGGTTTTCTTTAACAAAATATTCCATGAAAGGGAAAAAAGTAATGGATTAAAACATTAAAAGTGTGGGTTAGGAGGGCAGCTTAGTGATAGAGCTTTTGCCTTACATTCCAGAGGCTCTGAATTCAACTAACAGCACCCAAACCAAACAAACAAAAATCCAAGAGACTTTAGGAGGCATAGACTGCATCCATTTGCAGTATGTGGAGCTTATATATACCCCAATCCCATCAGAAAACTGTAGTAAAAAGTAGTCAGAAAATTTTGTGTTTTTTTTTGTCTTGGAAATGTAATAATATTGTTATCAATATGTTCCAGAGTATCTTTTAGAAACTCATACTGAAATTTCACAGGCAAAAAGACAGAATGTGTGGGATTTAAATCAAAATAGTCTTAGGGACTGGGAAGTAGGTGATCTCATAGACAAAACAGATTGGTTCTAAATAACTATTGCTAAAGTTTGGTAACGGGTACTTATAGGAAAGGATATGTTCACTATACTATTTTTAATACTTTTATAAAATTTCAATTTTTTAATAGAAAGTTTTTGGAAAAAATACTTTAAATTTKTTTTTCAGCATTATAGAAACATCTATATATTTTCAAAGCTAAACGATACTACTAATTTAGAAGCAAAATAATTAAGTAAATTGTAGCTATATTTTTAATACCTGAAATTTCTGGCCCTTTTACCTCCATACCACTAAGGATTGCAGAAGGAGTTAGTTAAAATCCATCAGCTTCACTGCAGATTCACCATAGATTACAATTCAGGGCTGCAGATTCACCTAAAGTTTTCCGAGGGGTAGAAAGAGATGTGCTTTGCCTTCTTTCATTTTTACAGGAAGATTTTTATGTTTAATTAAGGAAACTGAACATCTTAACGTATTGCACTTTTCTTCTAAGAAAGAAAAATCATTTAAGCATACGTTTTTGTTTACATTTGAAATGAAGAGAATATTCTCAAAAATATCTTAAAAAGTGTTAATAAAAATGGAAATCAAAAGGATTTAGTATTTATATTTAAAATATGCTTGTGGAATAATTGTGAATTACTATCTTGCTGCCTAAGTTATGGAACATTCTGTTATTTGAACATTTGCTCCAGGGTTGTTTAAGATTCCTCTACATGAATTACTAGATGGCAAGTTGGCTCCATTGTTAGGATTTTTGCTTAAGGGCCTATGTCATACTTCTCTGGATTTCTCCATTACATGGATTTGGAAAATAGAAATTTTAATGAAATTACCAGTGGAATCTTGATAATATTTAAATTTTATTTTTTTCTCTTGAAGGAAAGCTCCATTTTAAAGAATAGGTTTATTTTATGTTTCCATTTTAAAATAATACTTTTCATTATTGAAAACACCCAAAAGAGTAAATCAAAAGATCACTATCCTAATCTCCCTATACAAAGAATCACTTGTTAACATTTTGACATATTCTTTCAGTTTTAAATTCACTGTGTTCCTAGTAAATATGCAGCTTAGTATCTTATGTTAGTTTGCTGAATTTTCTGAATGTTTTGTGTTGTTGTTAGTCTGTATTTTTTAATATCTATGCAATTGAATCCATTTGATATGTCATACCCCATCTAATTTAGGTAATTCAGTAATAAAGTCATGAAGTAATAATTTTCGCTTTCTATTGTGATCAATGTGTTTATGCACACATAATTAGAAAATATATCTCTTCATTAAGATACAGAATAGAAAAGGAAAAATGTTTTAAGATTTGKGATACAAGTTACCCAATTGATGTCCAAAAATGTTGTAATTTCCATAGCTCTCAATATTGGGTTATAATTGTACCTTGGTTGAGAATTCTCATTTTTTGAGAGTTTTATTAATTTAGAAGATTAAAAGTCCTGTTGTATTATATGAATTCTCATTTACTCGAGTACTAATGTCTTAGGACCTTTTTTAAGTACTTACAATTCATTTGTATTTCCTTCTTTATAATTTGTGCTCTCATAGTTCTTTTCACTTGATTTACAGATTAGCTCATTATACATCACTCCTTCCCTTAAATACCTTTACCAAATTAAGCTTTTTATTATTATATCTTGACGTATAGGTGTTTTATTTTTGTTCTATAATGTTTTCTTGTAGTTTTTGCCTACATCATTTTTCCCCATTACCTTTATGCTTAGAAAGTAGTGTTTTCAGCAATATCATGCCTACTTTACTTTTTTTCTAGTATCCATTATTCATAATATGACTATGCTTAGCTTACTTTTAATTCTTCCTTAATCATTCATGTATTTGATATGTAGATTATAGCATCCAAGTTTATGTGTCTAAATTTTATCAAACTTATAATATTTAACCAATAATTATGGTTAATATTTGTTTTATTTTGCTTTGAGATGAATAACTTTATGTTGCTGTTACCTCCCATCCTCAATTTTTAAAATAAATTTGAATATTTATAATTTTTAAAATAGCAAAGAAAGACTCCATTGCATCTTTTGTTTATCATAGAGATCATTGTATTGGACCTGTTGAATTATTTTATAAAGCTTTTTCTGTACTATCTCTTCACAAATGCGGTCTGCAAATTATCATAGGTGGGACTTAAATTATTGAAAAATTCTCACTTGTAGTTTCTCAAATTCTTTACTGTCCTGAGTACTTTTGTTTCTTTTTCTTTTTTTTTTTTTTTGATACTTCCCAAGATAATATTCTTCAGAGAACAGTCTGGTAATACAAATATACATGAATAATATTAAAATAGAGCCTTAAGTAATAATATGCCTATAAAATAAATATCATATACTGTGTTATATATGATTATTCTATTGTAATCAAAGTCATTTGAAGCAAGATGCTGAAATTGAAAGCTGTGTTTTCAGGAGCTACTTGTGAGATAGTTTGCCTTTTAAAATATTTGAAAATTTTTTCTTGTAAACTTTGGGATTATAGATTATCTAGCAATATATCACATATTATACATTTTTCTAAAGAAACGGAAATCTCTTCTGCAACAACAATAGGTGATGATTACTCTAAATGGRTTCTTAGTTTTCCTTTAAACATAATACAATAATGTAATAGAAGTATTCAGTCTCTTAAAGTGGCTGCCAAAGCCAAGTTATATAAGAGTCAAAAATATTAGTTATTTGTGGATATATTGTTCATATCTCAGTAAAAATATGCACTTACATTTTTCTTTCTATGTAATGCATAGGAAATACTTTTTGTCAAATCATGATTTTTTTTTAAGTAGTTGAAGGTCTTTGAAATAGAAGTTAATAAAGTAGTATGTCTTATTAGCACTTAGTTTCTGAAAAAGCCTTGATGTAGAATATCAGTTTTTTCATTTTTAATTGTACCTTGAGTTTTACACTTGTCCTGAGATTTGACAAGTGTCCTCAAATAAAGACACAATAGTTTCTAATAGAAATACAAGTTATGTGTTCTATGACTTTATTGGTACAGGAAAGAAATTTAATATCTACATCACTTTTTGTTGTTTCTTTTATTCATCAAAAATTTTTTTTTTATAAATGTCAGAATTTTAGTGATCAGTAAATAAGTAAGGTCCTTGCTGTAGTGAAGGCTAAGATTGAAGGAGTCAGACAACTAAATATATAATTTGGGAAAATAATTTATGTGAAGTATAATAAGGCAGGATAATGATGGAGATTGGCAGGATCGGTGTAGTGACAAAATTTGGTCTTAGTAGTACTAAGAAAATAGTAATAAGAAAATAGTAATAGAAATAGAAATAGTAATAGAAAATAGTTAATAAGAATCCTCAGAAATTGACAGGATTTATAACCAGTGTATTTATTTTGGGGTAAACAGGTTCAGGCTTATATGCTATAATACCTTTGCTGCTGTAGTGTGCTTTTAAAATATCTTATTGGGGGGTCAGCTGAAAATTCACTATGTAATTTTTCTTTGTAGCGGTTGTGTTTTAGTACAGGACAAAGTAATGCTTAATTATTTGTAGAAATCTTCAGCTTGGCTTTCCCAATATTTAAAAAAAAAATGTGGAAGGGCAAATTACTGAATATACACCAGTGGTTTGTTACCAGGAACTTTGTGCTTTATATTATTTTTGTATATAGGATATACCTGAATGATAGGAAGAGAAAAATCCCTATGTAACTTTGCCATAAACCCACAGGGAGTTTCTTTCTATATATTTTCAAGAGTTTAGTATATTCCCTACGCAAATTAAAGCTGAATTGTTTTCACATATTTACAAATTCTTGTATCTCTTCCTGAGTTAGTAGCATAAATTAAATCCCTGCTCTTTCTTATCCTTCATAAATCATCACTTGCTTTTGTCAAGAGAATAGGCAACTATTTTCCCATCTACTATATTTTGTTATCACCATCATCTCAGAATTTGATTTTTGTTAATAGAATGTAAATAAAGATCAAGTAGTGAGCTAAATTTTCCCCCAAAAGAAAAATGAAGCATTAAAAATCCTTTTGAGCAGTAAAACTGAAATAACACAGCATCTTACATCGTTTTGTAGTGTTAAAAAAGTCTTTTTAAATTTAATTTTATTTTAGTTTTCTTTTAAAAC